GCTCCGTGAGGCTCATGTTGTTGCGTTAACCACTGAGCTACCGTCTGAACGCTATTAAATTACGTCTTATGCTCTTCCAGACCCTCATTGATAGCCTAATATATTTCTGTTGCAATGTTTTATTTCTGTTATAATGTTTTCACTATTTATTCAATTTAATTTCAGTATTGCGATTATGAATTCGTTTAACTACAATGTTTCACTTGAATTCATCTGTTACCAGCTTTCAATCGCTCTGAATGAGTCGCGGCGCGGCGGTAGATTACGCAATAGAGAGAATAAACTGACACCTTGATTGTAGCGCCTCTTAGCGGTAAAAGGCAGCAAATACACATCCGAATTTTACCGCCGCGGGGGCGGCGGCGGTAAAAGTATTATTCTTGAGTACCAACTGTACCCAAAGCAACATCTTTTCCACAAACCCTAACCCTGACATGATGGTCCTCGTAGTGGAGAACTGTCCTTATATTTCAGGTCAGTGTCATGCCCATCCCCCAACGCACGAGTTATGAAAATGTATGAACCGAGCAATGTACATTTTACTCGAATTTGAGACGTCACAACAGCGTCTTTAAGACGACAGTCCACGTCAACCAGTCTAGCATGATGCCCAACCATCCTACACTTAACATTGCCTGTGTCAAAGAGAAGAAAACAATGAAGGAACATGCGCTCACTTACTTTCTGTTTCACTGATGAGGATGGATTCACACTGCATTCAGTCACAGCCACTGATGTCTCGTCACACAATTCCTGTAATTATGAGAAAGACAGGTACAACACTGAGGCAAGGATGCTTGCCAATCGGTCACCGCAACTAATTCTAGTATCAACCAAAGACTAAATATCTAGTGTCCCTTTCATGGCTCCGTCATGCACAAAGCAGACGTGCAGAATTTTTTTTAATAATCTGCATCATATAAAAAACTAACATTCATGAAATACAGAACATGGTTGACTTTCAGTGATAAAGTCTTTAAGAGACTCACCCTTAAACGCCAAGGCCAAGAGGAATCCCCATAGTTGTATGTGACCTCCTCATCTGGAAAGATATGTCTTATACTAAACAGACACAGGTGTGGCCTTCCGTCAACAATGATTGTCTTGACTTTGCAATTTGGATTTTTGTCATCATCATTCCTCCACCGTCCTCTTTTGTTGCATCTATGCTGTGATAAAAATAGTGCAGTAAGAAACTTAAAACATAGACACACACTGAAACATACGGTTCTAACTGAACATTTGGGTTAGGCTAACCTTGGCCTATTTAACCTATATTCAAATACACATTGTGAAAGTTAACTTGACTTCCTAAGAATTTAATAGGTCAGATGATCCACTTAAGGTAAAAAAAATAATACCCCAGTTGAACAATAACCATGTTATTGATTATCACTAACTAATAAGTTCCTAATGTTATGAGAACCCTAGCAAATCTGCTATTGTAATAGTGCGGCACGATTAATCTTATCGCAATCGTAATCGCGATGTCAAGCCTGTGCGATTATATGGCGCAAAATGCTGCGATTTTATGTAAAATAAACAATGGGCTGTTAACGCAATTAACGCAGCATCTGTTATTATTTGTCATCCTTTGGCTAGTGTTACATGATAATGCTCTCATGCGATTGCTTAAAACCATTCATGCGAGACAAGTCAAAAGAGAGCGCGCTGAATGTCCGACTGTGACTCACAGAAAGACACGCGCCAGAATACAGTTCTCTTTCGCTCTTGAACGAACAACAACACACACAATTATGCCAAAATGTCGTTTGTCGAGTATCTTCATAACATAAGAGCAGTCTTATGATGGACGTATAGAGTTGTGAGAGGATGAGGCGCATGTGAGATCCGTGTCTCTGTCAGCAGCGGCTGCTCTTAAAGGGCCGGCAGCCAAAGCTTTCTGTCAGTAAAGTTAATCAAAGAACAAAGGGGACAGAGAAAATTACTCACTGCTCTTGACTAAAGAACTTATGTAGCTTTAATAAGGATTAGTCTATTTATTATTTATGCAGCGCAGAGTCGCAGACTGTTTGATAACTTTATTAAATTTCTGCATACCTGTTAGACAGGAAGGGCACAGGTAAATATGACATGTCATTTATAATGGGTTTATGTGAGGATTATTTGAAGGTCACTTAAATTAAAAGCTGTTATATTTTTTGACGTCTAATAAATGTTTTTTAAAAGATTATAGCTTTCAATTGTAATGATGGAATCACTGTAATGTTGGATGGCTATAATTAATGTTTTAAATGGGGGTGGATTAATTTTTATCCAGACATCAATGGCTTAGATGTTATCAATCATTTAGTTGTTGTTGCTAGTTTGAGTTGAGAAATACACATTTCAGAATTATCACTAATCTGTGTGTGCATTTTGCTTTAGAACCAAGCAAGTTGACTCATGAAACCATTTGTTTATTATATCGCAATCGCATATTCCAATTGCAATATTGACCTCAATAATCACAATGACATTTTCCCCAAATCGTGCAGCCCTATATTGTAATAATAATAGTAATAATAATAAATCATAATTATAACTGTTTTTATTAGAATGACATGCAACTAGTTTGCTCTGAATATGAACCAAAAATAAATAAACCAAAAAAGAAACAGCCAGCTTACCAATAACGTGTTCCATTCCATGTGAAGTCAAACAAGTAGTTGCCTTGAACATCTTTAACATGTTTACTTTGAGAGAGAATCCCACGGTATTCAACAACAAAGGTGGATGGTTCAATGTGCTCAAGTGCAAACACACCTCTCCCTGAAAGGGCAAAATAATATATAATAATACAAATAAAACATGAATCCAAGTGCACCTATATGTTACACAGCTAACCAACCTATCCTTTTAAAGAGTTAAATCCTGTAAAACTGTGTAATGTAATATGAGGTGCAGGAAATAAAAAAAATAATCAAGCATTGGTTTTCACTGCGATATAGCCTACTAGTTGATTTTGGTTACACTATTCTCTGTATACATAGTTTTATGTATTTATTTTAAAATAATAATTATAAAAAAATTGTTTAAAGTTTTTTTTTTCATCTCTTAACCTTTATGAAAATGAGCGGCTTACCCAAGGGTAAAATGTGTGAATGTGAAAGATCATGTCCAGACTGCCAGCAATAGGCCTACTTTTCATTCTTACAAGTGCATGCCTACTTTATGATTTGATTTGCCTGCAGTCTGAACATAGTCAAATTGCCTTGTGGTGTTTGTCGTCCCTCAATGAAGGCTTTGTCTTTGCCCGACAATATGTGTTCTTTTGCATCCTGCTCAGGTTTTATTCTCTTCTTTCTTAACATGTTGACTGAAAACATTCCAGACAACATAATTAGTATGTATTTATAAATATATAAATATATATAAATATATATATATATATATATATATATATATATATATATATATATATATATATATATAGATAGATAGATAGATAGATAGATAGATAGATAGATAGATATGCTTTATATACAGTACATTATTGTCAGACTGTAGACTATATCAATAAATACAACATTTTACACAGAAATAGTTGATCAGTGAGGTTTTGAGGCTTGTTACTTTTGATAAGAAACAGTCTCCGATTTCAAATTCAGTCCATTTTAATACCATTTTATCACTCTTTAATGTGGCGCCTCAGATCAAATGAAGCTAAACTCGTTACTTAGAAAAATTAACTAGAGAGAGAAAGTTTTAGAAAATGTTACATGTATTACACCTGATTTACATTAAAATAATAAATGTAAAATCGAATTGGAAATAGAATCGAAAGCACGTGAATTAAAATTGAATGGAATCATAAAATGTCTGCTAATATCCAGCCCTAAAATGAATCAACCAGATAATTTTGGCAAGTCATTCTAATGACAGTAACGTTACATTAATGAAAGTATACTTTTACATTAGTCTCGTTTCTGTTTATTTAATATATTTCTGTATCTTACTGTATTAAACTGTAAATTCATCCACTCAACTTTACCAGTCATCATGATGACAACATAGATTTGATTTATTTCAAAATGTAAATTAATTCTCTCAAGCATCCATGGAGATGTATCTTTCATCAACTAATACTAATACTAGTATCCAACTGCTTATGGATTTATATTAGCTACGTTTAGTGGCCACGTTTAAAGTAATGTAACTAACGTTATTAAAAACTGTCTGACTCATGACACTTAACTCCATAAAGGTAGAATATATAAATAAACGCACTTACCTTCCTCGTGATAAAGTGAAAATCTCCCACTATAGCTCGTCAACTTCGCTCGAATTCTGCTAATTAATCTTTCATGATGATGATTAATCTTCTGATTAATCACACGGTCACACCACACGTCTGCGATAGAAGATCAGAGGCGCAGGCGCGCTGACTTTGACGGATGTGAAATGCAGCCAATCACTGACGAGGATTCCAGCAGCCAATCACTGACGAGGATTCCAGCGTTCCACCAATGAATCGCGCTTGGGCGTGGTCTGGGTGTATGAAATGTGTATGATACTGCAGTAGCGTCGAATTTCACATAGAGGGAGATTATACACTCTGAGCATACTCTGGCACACACTGAAAAACGGGTACAACGGATTTATAAGGACATATTGAGAAAAAGCGGGAGGTGGTTAGGCGCAGCCTGATAAGCCTTTCTACACTGCTCGACTTATGAGGACACTAGTGCTGTCCTCGTAGTTACGGTATGTCCTCATAGAGTCGGTATGTATCCATGGTTTTTGTCCTCATAATCCGGTCGCACCAACGCACACACACACATGCTCACACACACACACACACACACACACACACACACACACACACACACACACACACACACACACACACACACACACACTCTTCCCTCTGCTATTGTCATGAATATTAAGTTATCATTTCAGTGCACATCACTTCCTGTTTCTGACATTGGATCACTGTATCGGGTTCAGTTCGCCTCATGTTATGTGTGTTGTATGTGTGTGTGTGTGTTGTGCAGGAGAGAGATCGCTACTCGTACAAGATCCACCTTCCGGAGACGGTGGAGCAGCTGAGGAAGTTCAACGCTCGGAGGAAACTCAAGGTATTCACTGTCATCACGCAGACGTTCCTCAACACGTGCCCAGCCCTCACACACACTCAGTGTCAGATATCACACACTCAGGGTCAGATATCACACACACTCACACACACTACTAATTATCCTGAAATTGAGCCGCGTCTCATTCAACTCCTCTTTAATTCTGTAGTATAATTCTTTATACAAAACATGTTCAAACTACGTAATTAAAAATTACTGGATGACAAAGTTGTTTCGGTGTTCATCACACACCTTCTTCAGTTGTAAACACACAGGAAGTAACACGCAAATATACATGTCACATGATCCGCACACTTGCAGAAGTCACATGACTACCCGTCTGTCCATATAATGTGCTTGCCAGAGCTGACGGATCTGACAGTTATGAATCTACAGCTTCACAGTAATAAACAGGAGAACGACTGAACCAATGATGCGAGCTTCGTCAGATATGAGACGGCTCCTGATCTGAAGACAGTGATTATTCAGATGAGTTATGATTTCGTCTGATAGTGTCGGATCAGTCATATTATTGAATATTAAGAGTCTTTTAAACCCCAGATTAATTTAAACTAAACCCAGTTTATGGGTTATATTACTATATTTTTAAAATGTTATTTTATAGTTCAAAACGGCCAGTCTTATGTTTTTCCTGTTCATGCAAATGTTCATATTTGATCTTCAAATATCATGTAACATTACTTTATGAAGTGTCTAAAGTTCTCTCTGAATGTTCTAAAACTAAACGTTTCATATAAATAATTCCATGAACGATCCATAAATAAATTTTTTGGTGGTAATGTTTTGAGAACATTATTAAAGCCCAGATGACTGAGTGAATGTTTTAATAAGTGTGTTATGAAGCGTGTCTTATGAAGCGTGTTATGAGTTATGAAGTGTGTGTTATGAAGTGTGTTGTGTTATGAAGTGTGTTGTGTTATGAAGTGTGTGTTATGAAGTGTGTGTTATGAAGTGTGTGTTATGTGTTATGAAGCGTGTGTTATGAAGCGTGTGTTATGAAGCGGCGTGTGTTGTTAAGTTGTTAAGTGTGTGTTGTTAAGTGTGTGTTGTTAAGTGTGTGTTGTTAAGTGTGTGTTGTTAAGTGTACTGTTAAGTGTGTTGTTAAGTGTGTTGTTAAGTGTGTTGTTAAGTGTGTTTTTAAGTGTGTGTTTTTAAGTGTGTGTTGTTAAGTGTGTTATTATGTAGTGTGTGTTATGTAGTGTGTGTTATGTAGTGTGTGTGTTAGGTAGTGTGTGTGTTAGGTAGTGTGTGTTATGTAGTGAACTCTTCCACACTCCTGGTGGTTTCAGGTTAGCGTGAGTAAAGTTCTCATTGACACACTCGCACTCCCACATGAAAGCACAGGATGTTGTTCTAATACTTCAAATTTTTAGTCAGCTCTGATTAAAAAGAATGCGTGCGTGTGTGTGTGTGTGTGTGTAAAGGTGACAACGAGTGGTTTGCAAGATCTCTGGAAGGCAAATGTCAAATGTCTGCGGTTCAGAAGAATGATTTGATAAAAAATAATCTGCATAATGAATGAAATAAAGAGATTGTGTGTGTGTGTGTGTGTGTGTGTGTGTGTGTGTGTGTGTGTGTGTGTGTGTGATTGACAGGGTGCCGTCCTCGCTGCCGTCTCAAGTCACAAGTTCAACTCGTTCTACGGTGACCCTCCGGAAGACCTGCATGACTTCTCGGAGGACCCCACGTCCTCAGGTACGTCCCCCGTGACAGCGCTCGCTGCAGTCATCTCTGGATCTGCGTCTGGGTTAGTCAGAGCGAGAGTCTGCTGGTGTCAGGTGACCTCTAGAGGAGCGGCTCTCCGTCGAGAGCGAGAGTCTGCTGGTGTCAGGTGACCTCTAGAGGAGCGGCTCTCCGTCGAGAGCGAGAGTCTGCTGGTGTCAGGTGACCTCTAGAGGAGCGGCTCTCCGTCGAGAGCGAGAGTCTGCTGGTGTCAGGTGACCTCTAGAGGAGCGGCTCTCCGTCGAGAGCGAGAGTCTGCTGGTGTCAGGTGACCTCTAGAGGAGGGGCTCTCCGTCGAGAGTGAGAGTCTGCTGGTGTCAGGTGACCTCTAGAGGAGGGGCTCTCCGTCGAGAGCGAGAGTCTGCTGGTGTCAGGTGACCTCTAGAGGAGCGGCTCTCCGTCGAGAGCGAGAGTCTGCTGGTGTCAGGTGACCTCTAGAGGAGGGGCTCTCCGTCGAGAGCGAGAGTCTGCTGGTGTCAGGTGACCTCTAGAGAAGGGGCTCTCCGTCGAGAGCGAGAGTCTGCTGGTGTCAGGTGACCTCTAGAGGAGGGGCTCTCCGTCGAGAGTGAGAGTCTGCTGGTGTCAGGTGACCTCTAGAGGAGGGGCTCTCCGTCGAGAGCGAGAGTCTGCTGGTGTCAGGTGACCTCTAAAGGAGGGGCTCTCCGTCGAGAGCGAGAGTCTGCTGGTGTCAGGTGACCTCTAGAGGAGCGGCTCTCCGTCGAGAGCGAGAGTCTGCTGGTGTCAGGTGACCTCTAGAGGAGGGGCTCTCCGTCGAGAGCGAGAGTCTGCTGGTGTCAGGTGACCTCTAGAGAAGGGGCTCTCCGTCGAGAGTGAGAGTCTGCTGGTGTCAGGTGACCTCTAGAGGAGCGGCTCTCCGTCGAGAGCGAGAGTCTGCTGGTGTCAGGTGACCTCTAGAGAAGGGGCTCTCCGTCGAGAGTGAGAGTCTGCTGGTGTCAGGTGACCTCTAGAGAAGCGGCTCTCCGTCGAGAGCGAGAGTCTGCTGGTGTCAGGTGACCTCTAGAGAAGGGGCTCTCCGTCGAGAGCGAGAGTCTGCTGGTGTCAGGTGACCTCTAGAGGAGGGGCTCTCCGTCGAGAGCGAGAGTCTGCTGGTGTCAGGTGACCTCTAGAGGAGGGGCTCTCCGTCGAGAGCGAGAGTCTGCTGGTGTCAGGTGACCTCTAGAGAAGGGGCTCTCCGTCGAGAGTGAGAGTCTGCTGGTGTCAGGTGACCTCTAGAGGAGGGGCTCTCCGTCGAGAGCGAGAGTCTGCTGGTGTCAGGTGACCTCTAGAGGAGGGGCTCTCCGTCGAGAGCGAGAGTCTGCTGGTGTCAGGTGACCTCTAGAGGAGGGGCTCTCCGTCGAGAGCGAGAGTCTGCTGGTGTCAGGTGACCTCTAGAGGAGGGGCTCTCCGTCGAGAGCGAGAGTCTGCTGGTGTCAGGTGACCTCTAGAGGAGGGGCTCTCCGTCGAGAGCGAGAGTCTGCTGGTGTCAGGTGACCTCTAGAGGAGCGGCTCTCCGTCGAGAGCGAGAGTCTGCTGGTGTCAGGTGACCTCTAGAGGAGGGGCTCTCCGTCGAGAGCGAGAGTCTGCTGGTGTCAGGTGACCTCTAGAGAAGGGGCTCTCCCTCGAGAGCGAGAGTCTGCTGGTGTCAGGTGACCTCTAGAGGAGGGGCTCTCCGTCGAGAGCGAGAGTCTGCTGGTGTCAGGTGACCTCTAGAGGAGGGGCTCTCCGTCGAGAGCGAGCGTCTGCTGGTGTCAGGTGACCTCTAGAGGAGCGGCTCTCCGTCGAGAGCGAGAGTCTGCTGGTGTCAGGTGACCTCTAGAGGAGGGGCTCTCCGTCGAGAGCGAGAGTCTGCTGGTGTCAGGTGACCTCTAGAGAAGGGGCTCTCCCTCGAGAGCAAGAGTCTGCTGGTGTCAGGTGACCTCTAGAGGAGGGGCTCTCCGTCGAGAGCGAGAGTCTGCTGGTGTCAGGTGACCTCTAGAGGAGGGGCTCTCCGTCGAGAGCGAGCGTCTGCTGGTGTCAGGTGACCTCTAGAGGAGCGGCTCTCCGTCGAGAGCGAGAGTCTGCTGGTGTCAGGTGACCTCTAGAGGAGGGGCTCTCCGTCGAGAGCGAGAGTCTGCTGGTGTCAGGTGACCTCTAGAGGAGCGGCTCTCCGTCGAGAGTGAGAGTCTGCTGGTGTCAGGTGACCTCTAGAGGAGCGGCTCTCCGTCGAGAGCGAGAGTCTGCTGGTGTCAGGTGACCTCTAGAGGAGGGGCTCTCCGTCGAGAGCGAGAGTCTGCTGGTGTCAGGTGACCTCTAGAGGAGCGGCTCTCCGTCGAGAGCGAGAGTCTGCTGGTGTCAGGTGACCTCTAGAGGAGCGGCTCTCCGTCGAGAGCGAGAGTCTGCTGGTGTCAGGTGACCTCTAGAGGAGGGGCTCTCCGTCGAGAGCGAGAGTCTGCTGGTGTCAGGTGACCTCTAGAGGAGGGGCTCTCCGTCGAGAGCGAGCGTCTGCTGGTGTCAGGTGACCTCTAGAGGAGCGGCTCTCCGTCGAGAGCGAGAGTCTGCTGGTGTCAGGTGACCTCTAGAGGAGGGGCTCTCCGTCGAGAGCGAGAGTCTGCTGGTGTCAGGTGACCTCTAGAGGAGCGGCTCTCCGTCGAGAGTGAGAGTCTGCTGGTGTCAGGTGACCTCTAGAGGAGCGGCTCTCCGTCGAGAGCGAGAGTCTGCTGGTGTCAGGTGACCTCTAGAGGAGGGGCTCTCCGTCGAGAGCGAGCGTCTGCTGGTGTCAGGTGACCTCTAGAGGAGCGGCTCTCCGTCGAGAGCGAGAGTCTGCTGGTGTCAGGTGACCTCTAGAGGAGGGGCTCTCCGTCGAGAGCGAGAGTCTGCTGGTGTCAGGTGACCTCTAGAGGAGCGGCTCTCCGTCGAGAGCGAGAGTCTGCTGGTGTCAGGTGACCTCTAGAGGAGGGGCTCTCCGTCGAGAGCGAGAGTCTGCTGGTGTCAGGTGACCTCTAGAGGAGCGGCTCTCCGTCGAGAGCGAGAGTCTGCTGGTGTCAGGTGACCTCTAGAGGAGCGGCTCTCCGTCGAGAGCGAGAGTCTGCTGGTGTCAGGTGACCTCTAGAGGAGGGGCTCTCCGTCGAGAGCGAGAGTCTGCTGGTGTCAGGTGACCTCTAGAGGAGCGGCTCTCCGTCGAGAGGGAGAGTCTGCTGGTGTCAGGTGACCTCTAGAGGAGGGGCTCTCCGTCGAGAGCGAGAGTCTGCTGGTGTCAGGTGACCTCTAGAGGAGCGGCTCTCCTTCTCGCAGGGAAACCGACTCAGAATCCCGCTTATTTTAACATGAACTGAGAGTGAAAAAAATGATTTCCACAGCATTTATTAATTTCAGTTAATGTTATTTTCAACATTTACTAATACATTTTTTAAATCAAAAGTTGTATTTTTTAATAGAGCTGCGCTGGTTCCTACACAGTTTGGAAAAGTATGGAAAAAAGAGAGCAGAGTATGGAAAAATATTAGCATTTCCAGACTATTGGCCCTGTTTAGTTTTCTATAATACAAAAAATTAAGAATTTAATGAAAATAAATGTATCATACAAAAAGAGTGTTTTCATTGCAGCTGTTTAGCGATTGTCAAAAACGACTGAATAAATTTAAGGTGCACTTTTTCATTATGCAAAAATGCAGGTTATAAGTGTTTTGGGTTTCTTCTCATGATATTCTTAGCATTCTTACAGAGCCACTAAAAGGATCTTTGCAAAATAAAAAATATGCAGACTTTCGTGTGCGCATGTGAAACCATTAAACTTAGCATAGGCAATGCACACTGAGCCACCTATTGCACCATCAGCCCGTTTCACTGTGTGGTTTCTTGGCCGCCATGGAGTATGTGTTGAAGCAGACCTAAGGCCTTGAAATAGGATACATTTTGACCACTTTTTTTTTTTTAAGCACCAGTGTTTTTATAGACCCTTGAACTTGGCAAATAGGACAATGCACACAGCCATATTGTGCCATCAGCCCATTTCCTGTCATGGTTTCTCTGCCGCCACAAAGGATGCATTAAATTGGTCATTAGGCCTTGATATTAGAGGCACTACCCCAAGGAAAGACAAATTTGGAGCAAATAGGCCTATATTTCTATTAATTCATGTGCACATTTGTTCTTTTTCTTCATAGATTAGGTTATAGTATATAAAACTAAAAATTGTAATGCGTAATTGTAAATTGTAAGCATGCAAAAAAAAATCCTGTGCTCATGTGAATAGTTTCTCGAGGGCACGATAAAGTTTCTCGAGTGCATGCACAAGTCTGTATATATACACTACTGTGCAAAAGTCTGTATATATACACTACTGTGCAAAAGTCTTTGGCACTTTAGTATTTTCTAACCCCTAAAAAATAGTTTTAAGCCAGTTATTTATATATTTTGCCGTAGTGTGTCAGCTTACATTTCCAAACATTGATTTTGCCATTAATGGTAATAATCCAGTGAGATTTTTTTGTTAGCACAAGGAGTGACGAGCCGGTATGATCTGATCTGATCTCTCCATCATCGAGCCTGTCTGTGATTACATGAAGAAACAGAATAAACTGAGACGGACTAAATCCAGAAGAACTGCAGCAATGTCTCCAAGATTCCTGCAAAGCTACAGTCCTGCGGGACGCTTTAGGCACTGTAGAGTGAGGATGCTTTCCAAAATAATGTCATAAATAGATTATTTATCAATTAGCTTCTATAAACTGAATCAAATCCATATTTGGTGTGACCACGCTTTCGTTTAAACAGCTGTTGTCCAGGTACACTTGCTCATAGCTTTCAGGAAGATTTCTTCAAGAGTCTTGGAGACGTTGCCGCAGTTCGTCTGGATTTAGTAGTTTCTTCTGTTTCTTCATGTAATCCCAGATGGACTCGATGATGGGGAGATCAGATCTCCGTGTGGAGAACACTGGCTGTTGTCAGACTCCTTATGCATATAAAAATCTCACTGGATTATTACAATGGCAAAA